ACTCGCACTCACGCACACACACACGCACTCACACACACGCACGCACACACGCACTCACACACGCACGCACACACGCACGCACGCACGCACACACACACACGCACACACACACACTCGCACACACACACACTCGCACACACACTCATGTGCCCTGAGGAAAATTCATCCCTCATTTAATCTCACGTTTGGGTGGAGTGACTCAGCTGTATGAGAAATAGTCTTTGTGTGGAGAGTGTGTCATTGTGCATGACAGTGTGTGTGTGTGTGTGTGTGTGTGTGTGTGTGTCATAATGATGACCTTATTCGTGTCTCAGTGTGTTGACAGGCAGATGTGGGCGCTCTTTCTTGTCATTGTTGCTGTGAACTTGCATAAGAGATGACACACACACATAGTCAATAAAGTTAATATAGCCAGTTCAATGTAAAGTGTAAATGATCCAAACAGACATTCAGAAAGGAAAGGATTGTGCAAAACCTGCTGTTTTAATTCTAGGGTGTTGTGTGTGGTTATCAGGCTGTGTATCTCATTAGGCATTCTGGGCATTGCTATGTGGTTGCTTGGGGTTGCCTGTGTTTTAGCACTTTATATGTTACTCCTCGTCTTTCATTTGTAAATGTAACATATGATGCTGTTCCACATTCATGATAGGAATCGAGGACAGGCGTTTCTTTCATTCTTCAGATGCAGCAGTAGAGGAGTGTGAGCCGGTGTTGTGCTCCTGCTCTGACTTTAATCTAATTCAGCACGTATTACTCAACGCCCTCAAGGAGATGCTTTTTCCTTCAGTAAAACTGTGTTTCGCACGCTCACATACCACATACAGACTCATATACACAACACAGATGTCAGCAAGATCTCCTGTGAAACTCGCTTATGAGTCACTTATTAGGCTCCAACTAGGTTGTAAAACAGCATATATGTGCATGTGTGTGCAGAACATTACTGTAAATGTAGACTAGTACACACACACTCACACACATACACAGGTCTTAGTATTCAGCTTTGTGATAAGATAAGACGACTGAATAACGAAACACTCGCTGCTGTGGCACCGTGTATGAGAGAAAGGGAGAAAAATCCTTATTGTTGTACAAAAACAAACAGCAGTTAATTTTTCTTGCGTGTACCACAGAATGTAACGTGGCACAGAGCATATTTAGTGTGTGTTGCATATAATCCATGCATTTTTGCCTTTATTAGTAAATGCTGAATTGACCATTTTAAAATGTTTTTGTAAACTGACCCTTTGTGTTTGTGTGTGTGTGTGTGTGTGTGTGTTTGTGTGTGTGTGTGTGTGTGTGTTTGAAAGAAGTCCCTTCTGCTCACCATGGCTCTGTTTATTTGATCAAAAATGCAGTAAAAAGAGAAAAAAAATATTATTACAATTTCAAATAGCTGCTGTTGTAATATATTTTAAAAGAATTTATATAATTTATTCCTGTGATGCAAAGCTGAATTTTCAGCAGCAATTACTCCAGAACGTTACGTCCTTAGAAATGATACAGTTTTCATTATACATTTTTTTCAGAATTCTTTGATGAATAGAAAGTTCAAAATAGCAACATTTATTTTTAATATTAATCGTTTGTGACATGATAAATGTCTTTACTGTAACTTTTGATCTATTTAATGTATCGTTGTTTAATAAAAAAAATTATTTATTAAAAAAATTACAAAATCGTTGACCCTAAATATAAACTAAAGGGTTACACTTTATTTTAAGGTGTCCTTGTTACGGTGTAATTACACATTTAAGTACTGGAATGTGTATGTAACGTGTAACAAGGACACCTTAAAATAAAGTGTTACCAAACTAAATTATGACTTAAAAACCTGACTGTAATTGTAATTAAATAGAATTGGAAATTGGCCATTTTAAAAATTATGAAATTATGCAAAATTGTCTCCTTTAATGACACTGAAAACTACTGAATATTACTAATTCTCATAATACTAACCCTAACCCTAACTAATCAGACTCCCCTGCGTGTTTCAGAACCATGGACAGCGAATAAGCACAGTAAATTATGCTTCAGTACCATGGACAGCTCCGGCTCTCGCTTTTTCCCCACACTGCTGCTGGAATCTAATTCTAGAACTCCCAGAGTGTTCCAACGCTCTCGTGTTTCACTGAGAATTGTCTTGCCGTGGAAAACAGCCCAGAAAGATGCCCGAAATAAACCTGGCATGATGCCCAGTTGTCCATCAAATAAGCCTGGCCTGATGTCAGACAGAAGTGCATTGTGGGAGAGTCAGGGGAGGGAAGTGAGAGTGCTGATTTTACCATCCAGATCCATGATAAACAAACATCCCCCCCGGAGTAAACTCTGACCTGTCTGCCAAGAGATGGTGGCACCTGTAATTCAGCTGATCACACTCACAGTGTAATAGCTGGTGTCTTTATGGCTATGTGAGCACTAAAGATGCACACTGAATGGTGATTTCCTTGGATTTAGGCTGCACTCATATAGGGTTGACCACCCTGTTTGGAATGATAAATGTGATTCTCTTTATTTTTTTTTTCTTTTGTTTCCATACACCTTTAATATGTTAGAGTTTGTCTACAATGTAAGTATCTCTATAAAAACAGGTTGAATTCTCTTTTATGCATTTATCCATGCATTCAAGGCTTGTATTTTATTCAGTGCATGCATTCCCTGGGAATCAAACCCATGACCTTGGTGTTGCTATTTATAAAGGTCAAGAACATTTTGAGAGCAAGTTCAGCAGATGTGTGCTGTTTGAATGCATTGCAGTAGATATGAATTAAGTGCATGTTTCACAGGTTATTCGCTGTTAAACACTAATGTTGTAGCTGTCAATCTCTCTGAGGTTCTGAGAAATGGCAGAAGTGCTGTCACAGAGCGAGACTAAACTCCTGTTAAATGTTTGAGGATGGAAGTGGAACAAAAATGTCAGTTTAGAAGAAAAATAAATCCTTGAACTTCCACTTTTTACTATCGTAGTATACATTCCTGGCTTTATTGTGCACAATTCAGGAATATTTGGCCTTATAAGTCTTTTTCCTTTTTCTTTTTTTGAGTATACATACTGGACCTTAAAAAAGTCTAGTCTTTTCAATCTTTTATCAAAAATGTCATTGTTTGACTTTTGAAATGACCTTTCTTTCCTACTGATGTCACCCAGGCTGCACAGATTATTGGATATTCCCATAGCTGAAAAGCTTTTAAGGCATTATTTTAGAAAACTTGAATTCAGGTCTGACTCCTTACTTGCATGTGATGCCCATTTTTCCCCCAGATGATTTATTTTATTTTATTCTTTTATTTTATTTTATTTTAATCAAACATCCTGTTCTACTTGGCATTAGATGATAGATGTCATGGATTGCCATGTCATTTTTACTTTTAAGATCCAGTGCATCTTGAAATTTCCTAATACTGGTGATTACAGGCATTATTAATGAGTTAGAGCGGTAGTTCTCAACCTTTTTGACTGCAAGATGTCCCACTTTCCACAACAATATGTTCAAATGTAGACCAATAGGTTTCCTCTGGTACATCTCCAGTAATGACAAAGTTTTGTTTTCATTTATTTATTTTTTTTAATTTACTGAAACTAGGAGTGTCCATAGATTAAAATAAGTAACTAATTAAAATAATTACATTTCTGGAACGGAATGTGCCTCAGGGATCCCACACTTGTTTACCAATGATTTACCACATAAGGATTAAGGATAAGGATTTTACTTAAAATTTCTACCCTAACAATATTTTAGAGCTTGGCAAAACTAAAAAAATAACAAAAAATAAAAATCTTGATTTTCATTTGTTTTAACTTATTTTTAAAACTTATTTTAAACCATTTCATGCCATCTTGAGGCCTCCTGGTTACTACTGAGTTGGTTAACAATCCAAACAGATAGTATTCTATTCTACTAGAATACTAGCAGACTAGTAGGATCCAAGCACTGACTGTGTGAGAGTCAATGGAAATTAAATGGTTTGGCTGCAGAAATCAGGATTTACATAATTAATGAAGACGTTAATGGGCTTAAAGGGCAGGAAACACTAAATACTATTGTGTTGAGTATAAATTATTTTAATCAGAGTTTTCTATGTGTGTGTGTGTGTGTGTGTGTGTGTGTGTGTTCACACCACCTAATAAAATGTGTCTTTTGAAGGAAAAACACTTAACCGGAGTGCCAGGCGCTCAGATTCTCCTCTGTCCCATCAGTTAACCGGACTGAATTATTTAAACTCTAAACACGTGGGAGAAGGAGAGATGTTCATTATCTGTATTAATCTTCTGTCTCTCTTGTCTTTGCAGGCTAAGAAGCAGGATCTGCCGCGTGAGGAACAGGGTCCGTCCATCAAGAATCTGGACTTCTGGCCCAAACTGATCACGCTGATGGTGTCTGTTATTGATGAAGACAGAACGGCCTACACACCCATCATTAACCAGTGCGTATCACACACACACACACACACACACACAAACACACACACAAACACATGTTTTTCTATCCTTTTGGGGAATCTCCATAGGCGTAATGGTTTTTATACTGCAAAACACACACACCCCCACGCACACACACACACACACACAGACACACACACGCATACACACACACACACACACCATTTCTCATCAAATTCTTCCAAGATCAAATCATCTGACCATGTGAAGACTAAAGATGCAAAAATATCAAAGTCCGTCTGAGATTTTTTTTTTCTTTTAAATTAGCATTTTTATCAGGCTTTTATGTTTAGGTTTAGTAATTTCACTTTAATGGCAAAGAAAAATTATTAGTCAGTTATTGAATGCCTTATTTTCAAAAATATCCAATGATATTTTCATAGGAGCCTGATAAAAAGAAAAATCTCAAAAGGACTAAGAGGTTTTTGCATCTGAAGTCTTCATATTCGTTTTAAAGCTGTGCACTCTAACTGATTGATCGTTTTTATTTTAAGGAGAAACATCTCAGATGCTTCAATTAAACATAACTGAGAATTCTTTCTGAGAATCTTGAGATATTAAAGAGCAACGTTTCAGCAATAAAAGCATCCCTTTGTAAGACGGATGACTTTGGGATGTTCTGAACATGTCCGTAGATTGCAGCATTTCATAAGCACATTGCCATGAAATCCAATATGTGACGTGTGTGTGCGCGTGTGTGCGCGCGTGTGTGTGTGAGTGTGTGTGTGTGTGTGTGTGTGTGTGTGTGCAAAAGAGATATCGATAGCTGTTTCACAGGCAGGCATTAGTTGTGAATAATTCAGCATCCTGGACAAACCCAGAGAAGAATCGTCTTGCCCTCAATTTCTCTTTTCGCTTCAAGCGTTTCTGTTTATTCAACTCTCTCTTATCTTTTATCTCACCTTTTGCAGAAGTCCCTCTTTGTGTGTGTGTGATGTTATTGGACTTACAGGGTCATTAGTTCTGGTCTCAATTGAACACTGAAAAGGAAAACTAGATTTGCTTGGGAATCACACTGCTCTACAAAAGCAAAGCACAGTAACACTGCATCTGAGAGAAATGATTCTGTGTTTTGACCGAGTTTTAATTGATTTACAGTTTTTTACGATTGCTTAAGCACAATTTTGAAAGATTAACAAAAAACCACTGGGTGGATTTTTATAATTTTAGGGTGGTTGTGTACACACACTGCCAACACACATTTTAGTTCAAACAACTTGTAAAAGTGCATGTAGCATCCTATGACCCCTTTAATGTCAGTTTTCACCCTTTGTTTTCACCTGAATCGGAGACAGTTGAGTCAAACCTGTCTGTCACTGGATGGATTGCAGTCTAAGAAACTCTGTTTTGGCAAAAAGTATTGTTTCTGTGTTTTGTCTGTCTATAGCAGAGCAGTGTTTTAAGTGTAGGTTTTACGATGAAATTGGGCATCAGAGTCATTTTGCTGCACATAAGAATCAACACATAATTCGAGATTATGTTGCAACAAAGTCACAGCAATCACAGTTCATTATGAAAATATTACAATGACATCTTGTTTCGAGGGATGAACATTCTGTTAAGTCAGTGTGAGATTTTTGAATTTTAATCTTACATTTATTACGGTATAGCATTTATAAAATCCAAAATCAGATTGAGTTTTGTTTCATAGAAAATTAAGTATGAGTGTGTGGGTTCAGAGATTTGTGCTGAATTATTTGTTGTTTGTTTGGAACAAACTCTGAGCAGAATATTGGAGGAATATCAGTACAGCGCTGCCACACAAACTCTGAAATGAAGTAAATAAGTCTTTCTTCCATTTCACTCACAGCATACACATGAATGTGTGAATTACAGTAGTGCCTCAAAAGCTTACACTGAATGTTGGTAAGATATTTAATGCTTTTGAAAGAAGCCACTTCTTCTCAGGCTGCATTTATTTGATCAAAAATGCAGTAAAATTGTGAAATATTATTGCAATTTAAAATAACTGCTTTCTGTTTGAATATCTGTTAAAATGTAATTTATTTCTGTGATCAAAGCTGAATTTTCAGCATCATTACTCCAGTCTTCAGTGTCACATGATCTTCAGAAATCATTCTAATATGCTGATTTGCTGCTCAAGAAACATTTCTGATTATTAGCAATGTTGAAAAGTGAAAACAGTTGTGCTGTCTCAATATTTTTGTGGAAATTATGATACATTTTATTTTTCAGGATACTTGAAAAATAAATGGAAACTTCAAAAGGACAGCATTTATTTTAAATTAAAATATTTTGTAACTTTATAAATCTCTTTAATGTCATTTTTGATCAGTTTAATGCATCCTTGTTGAATAAAAATAAATCTTACTGACCCCAAACCTTTAAATGATAGTGTATGTTGAGTTCAGCGCCTGGAGATTTGATGATTTCTGATTTTCCATCCTCTATTTCCACACTTACAGCAGCTACAACTACTTAAAGTCAACATGACTCTTTGTGTATTTCCTTAATGCGTGTTCCTAGTCTTATTATGAACAATTCATCAGTGTGTGCTGTTATAACAAACAATGTTTGTCTTCAGAATCTTTCATCGTAATAATAATGACATCCTCCGCCTTCTTCCTTCTATCAGATCAAATCAGTTTTGCACAATAAATCACTTCACAGAAGCAAATGTCTCATGAACGACATTTCATGCTGAATTTAAGTCACTGCTGTACAGTATTATCTGAACATCATTTGCAAAATGACAGCGTGGATGGTCAGTCCAAACGATTTGGAAACCAAATTGGATTTTTATGCTTTGTGAAAGTCTAAAATTCATTTTTACAGGACAGAGTCTGTCAGAGCAGAGTCACAGGGAGAAACGCTCCCTAATGAAGCGCAGTAAATGACTCTGGTTAGGAACACGTCCTTCCATCACTATGAGAGAGAGAGTTCATCGTCATCCTGTGTTCATCTGTGTCCGTCTCTGAGCTTCTTCTGTCGCTCCTAAAGCAATTAAAGCGGGTTGTGTCTGGTGTAGAGAGATCTGAGAACCGATCTCTTCACTCGTTGATACGGTACGGCAGCGGTTGCCATGGAAACAGCTGGTGCGGGGGGAATGTGCTCGTATGTGCAAAAACACACGCGTGTAAAACGGGACGGGACCCTTGTACACCCCTCTCTTTTCTCTGTCATTGATGGTCTGTGTGTTTTCAGCAGACGGAGTTTCAGAGATGGAGTGAAGACCAGACCTCTAGAACTGAAATTGCTGGATTTATTACAATAATCATTTCATTTTATATGCCTATTTATTATTCATTCCTTCATTTCTTGTTTTTCGATTTCTTTCTTTCTTTCTTTCTTTTTCTTTCTTTCTTTCTTTCAATTTCTTTCTTTCTTTCTTTCTTTCTTTCTCTAGGAATGTATGATTAAAATAAGTCTAATAAAAAGTTATTAAAATATGTTTAATTTGTTAAAATATTTCAAGAAATTCTTTCTTTCTTTCTTTCTTTAGGAATTTATGAATAAAATAATTCTTATAAAAAGTTATTAAAGTATGTTTAATTTGTTAAAATATTTTAAGAAATTATTTCTTTCTTTTGAGATGTATTTATTTTAACACAATAATTCTAATAAAATTATTAAAATATATTTTTTACAAATTTATTACGACATTTCAAACAGTTATTATTAAGTCTTTCTTTCTTTCTTTTCTTTCTTTCTTTCTTTCTTTCTTTAGGAATGTATGAATACAATAATTATAATAAAATGTTATTAAAATATGTTTAATTTGTTAAAATATTTTAAGAAATTCCTTCTTTCTTTCTAGATTTATTTTAACAAAAATAATTCAAATAAAAAGTTATTAAAATATTTTTAACACATTTGTTATGCCATTCATTTCAATCATTTCTTTCTTTCTTTTTCTTTCTTTCTTTCTTTCTTTCTTTCTTTTGAGATGTATTTATTTTAATAAAATTATTCTAATAAAATTATTAAAATATATTTTTAACAAATTTATTACGACATTCATTTCAAACATTTATTATTAATTATTTTTGTTCTTTCTTTCTTTCTTTTATAACAAACAATGTTTGTCTTCAGAATCTTTCATCGTAATAATAATGACATCCTCCGCCTTCTTCCTTCTATCAGATCAAATCAGTTTTGCACAATAAATCACTTCACAGAAGCAAATGTCTCATGAACGACATTTCATGCTGAATTTAAGTCACTGCTGTACAGTATTATCTGAACATCATTTGCAAAATGACAGCGTGGATGGTCAGTCCAAACGATTTGGAAACCAAATTGGATTTTTATGCTTTGTGAAAGTCTAAAATTCATTTTTACAGGACAGAGTCTGTCAGAGCAGAGTCACAGGGAGAAACGCTCCCTAATGAAGCGCAGTAAATGACTCTGGTTAGGAACACGTCCTTCCATCACTATGAGAGAGAGAGTTCATCGTCATCCTGTGTTCATCTGTGTCCGTCTCTGAGCTTCTTCTGTCGCTCCTAAAGCAATTAAAGCGGGTTGTGTCTGGTGTAGAGAGATCTGAGAACCGATCTCTTCACTCGTTGATACGGTACGGCAGCGGTTGCCATGGAAACAGCTGGTGCGGGGGGAATGTGCTCGTATGTGCAAAAACACACGCGTGTAAAACGGGACGGGACCCTTGTACACCCCTCTCTTTTCTCTGTCATTGATGGTCTGTGTGTTTTCAGCAGACGGAGTTTCAGAGATGGAGTGAAGACCAGACCTCTAGAACTGAAATTGCTGGATTTATTACAATAATCATTTCATTTTATATGCCTATTTATTATTCATTCCTTCATTTCTTGTTTTTCGATTTCTTTCTTTCTTTCTTTCTTTTTCTTTCTTTCTTTCTTTCAATTTCTTTCTTTCTTTCTTTCTTTCTCTAGGAATGTATGATTAAAATAAGTCTAATAAAAAGTTATTAAAATATGTTTAATTTGTTAAAATATTTCAAGAAATTCTTTCTTTCTTTCTTTCTTTAGGAATGTATGAATACAATAATTATAATAAAATGTTATTAAAATATGTTTAATTTGTTAAAATATTTTAAGAAATTCCTTCTTTCTTTCTAGATTTATTTTAACAAAAATAATTCAAATAAAAAGTTATTAAAATATTTTTAACACATTTGTTATGCCATTCATTTCAATCATTTCTTTCTTTCTTTTTCTTTCTTTCTTTCTTTCTTTCTTTCTTTTGAGATGTATTTATTTTAATAAAATTATTCTAATAAAATTATTAAAATATATTTTTAACAAATTTATTACGACATTCATTTCAAACATTTATTATTAATTATTTTTGTTCTTTCTTTCTTTCTTTCTTTCTTTCTATAGAAAATAAAATAATTAGAATATAAAGTCATTAAAATATGCATTTAACAAATCTATTATGATTACTTCATTCCTTCAAACACATATTTAATATTCATTCTTTCATTTAATATTTATTTAGTTATTTTTAAGATTTTTTATAAAAATTATTCTAATAAAAAGTCATAAAATATATTTAACAAATTGATTAATATACAAAAATTATACAATTATTTATTTATTATGTATTATTTATAATTATTTATTTTATTACGACATTCATTTCAAACATTTATTATTAATTATTTTTGTTCTTTCTTTCTTTCTTTCTTTCTTTCTATAGAAAATAAAATAATTAGAATATAAAGTCATTAAAATATGCATTTAACAAATCTATTATGATTACTTCATTCCTTCAAACACATATTTAATATTCATTCTTTCATTTAATATTTATTTAGTTATTTTTAAGATTTTTTATAAAAATTATTCTAATAAAAAGTCATAAAATATATTTAACAAATTGATTAATATACAAAAATTATACAATTATTTATTTATTATGTATTATTTATAATTATTTATAAAAATAAATAAATGTATTTTTAAATGATTAATTCTAATTAGTTGCTGCATGTGATATGCACCACAGACAACAGGATCTTTATGTGGTTTGAAGATCAGGACTCTGATGGAGTGATGGGTGAATGAACTGCTGTATGGTTGTAATGACTTCTGTTTTTATTTAATTTCAGGTTCCCTCAAGAGCTGAATATGGGCAGAATCAGTGCTGAAATCATGTGGAACCTCTTTGCCATGGATATGAAGTACGCAATGGAGGGTGAGTTTCTCCTGCTCCGGTTTTTACTTTCTCTGTGGGCTTGCTGGCGTGATTTCTGTTCAGATCTGAGAGCAACACATGTCAGACATCGATTGTTTCTGAGCAGAACAAAAATCACATCATATGTGATGCAGGTTTATGCTCGGATTCTTCTGAAGCCTCTTTCATACTCTTCAAGGAGATATATTGTTCGGTTTAGTAGCTATTTTACTCTTAAGTCTAACATAATATAATGTTTTACTGCACCAAAAAACAGTACATGTAATGATATGTAAATGTGGGCGGCCATATGTTAATGAGCTGTGATGTCATAGTCATGCTTTCTGAGCGAGTTGTTTTTTGAAATTTAGTTTCTATAAATGATCTGGCTGGACTGGAGAGGAAGCTGTGTGTTGAGTATGTCTGCAAACTACAGTATCATTTTACTAGAATATTTCTATTGCGTTGTTTGTGACGCCGACGGCAGCAGGACAGTGTGACATCAGTGTTTTATGGATAAATTTGGAACAAACTCTCTAGGATTCAGATTCACCTGCGAAATTTGATTCAACCACAGATGGTCCGCTGTCAAAGGCTGAGACACACACACACTCAAACACACACACACACACACTGCTGACCACAGATTGTGCTCTTACCACAGATTGTTTGCTTGGAAAGCTAAGAGAATGAAAGGCCACAAAAACAAACAAAATTGTTCTTGAAAGTAAAAGGTGAATGAATTGCAAGGTTATTCTCTCCTCCACACACACACACACACTCACTCACTCAAACACACTCAAA